GAGGGTAGTGGGGGAGCAAAGGGTAGAAGAGCAGGAGTAGGAAGTCAAGAAAAAAAGTAATGAAGTAAGAAAATAATGCCTCATTAGGAGAGTAATCTGACTATGCAGTATTATAGAAGCTGGGGGGAGGGGATAAAAAGGTTTGTAATGTATGAGATCATCAATAAATGATGCTATATATAGAAGTATTTTTTTTTTAAATGTGAAACAGGGGCACCTGTCTGGCTCAGTCAGTAGAGTATGTGACTCCTGATCTCGGGGTTATGAGTTCGAGCCCAATTTTGGGTATAGAGATTACTTAAGAATAACATTTTTTAGAAAATGAAACAATAGGAAGCCTTTGTACTTTTTAATGGGGAGGTTATTTATGATCTGCTTTAGTATCTCTTCACTTGCTTCTTAATTATAGTTCTTAACTATTCAGTGGTTTTTTTTTTAATTTGCATTTTCATTTAGATTATCAGCTTGGTAGGAACATTAATCAAACCTTACATCTGTTTTATAAGTCACGGGGTTTTGAACAGAATTATTCTTAGAGTAGTGGATGATCTATAAATATTTGCTTTTTGATTTTTAGGTAAATTCTAAAGGAATTACACCTTAATTCTAGGTTATAAGTATAATTTAAGTTCTATGTTTTGAGCTTACCAGGCTAACTCTAATCATGTGCAGTTATAGATAAAACATAAAATCAGTTATATGTAAACCATAATAAAAATTTTTAAATGTAATCAGTCTAAAAGACAAAATAAACTTATTTGTATAATAGAAATGCAAATTGAGGGATCCCTGGGTGGCGCAGCGGTTTAGCAGCTGCCTTTGGCCCAGGGCGCGATCCTGGAGACCTGGGATCGAATCCCACATTGGGCTCCCGGTGCATGGAGCCTGCTTCTCCCTCTGCATGTGTCTCTGCCTCTCTCTCTCTCTCTCTCTCTCTGACTATCACAAAAAAAAAAAAAAAGAAAGAAATGCAAATTGATGACTAGGATGAAAAACATGGGCCTCTTGAACGCCAGCTAGAGGTGATTGGACATCCAGTTTCTGGGGTATAATGGGAAGTGTGTCATATGGAAGTCAGAGGGCTAGAATTAGCCTCATTGGTTAAAAGTAGAAATTGGAAATGAGGCTCCCCTGCTCCCTGCTCCCTGCTCCTGAAAGGAAGTTTGTGTAAAAAGTAATAGCAACTGTTCCCTGAAGCTGTAGTTAATATAAAAATATTTATCTAGAGATGTGAGGTCGCCAGCACAGCTGTAAGACCAATACTTAAGCCAAACTGCAATGATTCAGTACTGAGTTCCCAGTAAGCAATAACGTCTGAAGCTCACAGTCACCAATATGGAACTTGGTTTGTTTGTTTGTTTGTGTTTTTTTGGAACCTAGTTTTTGAAGATGTACCTGTGTGCACTGGTGAAGACAAAAACTCATGAGACAGGCTAAGATAAATGGAGGGAGGAAGGGAGAGAGAGAGGGAGAGAAAGGAGAAGAGGGAAAATTCTCAAACCTGCAAACTAAAATTCCAATGCACAATTCAAAAAAGAAAAAAGCCAAACCTAGAAAGCATACAACAAAATCAACAGTCAGAAGATGGATTTGCTCCCAGATGAAATAAAAGTAGTAAACGAATTTTTCAAAGACTTATTTAAAAATAAGTATGTTAGGGACACCTGGGTGGCCTGCCTTCAGCTGAGGGTGTATCCTGGAGACCCAGAATTGAGTCCCACATCGGGTTCCCTGCAGGGAACCTACTTCTCCCTCTGCCTGTATCTCTGCCTCTTCTTTCTGTGTCTCTCATGAATAAAATAAAATCTTAAAAAAAAAGTATGTTTAGGATTCTCCAAAAGATAAATAATAAAAACCATTTTAAAAGAATAAGAAATAAAGATACATTAGCAGAAATGAAATAAGAATACACAAATATAAGAACGAATTAGACATCTTAGAATTGAAGTTATGGAACTTAAATCAGTAGATAGAATGAATCCTAACATAGACATGATTGAAGAGGGAATTAGTAAAGTAGAAAATTCCTCTTAAGGGTTCACCCGGAATGCAGAATATAGAGAGACATAGAATGCTAAAAATTATGTAATTATGTAGTTAAGAGGCATAAAAAATTAGGATTGAGGAACTTCAGTATACACATCTAATGGGAGTTATAGAACAAAAAGCTGTAATAATGACTAAAAAACCTAATGTCTGAGAATTTTCCAGAATTGAAAACTTGGGTCCTTAGATAAAAAAGTACACTCTGTATGCTAAGCAGGAGAAATAAAAATCAATCACAATGAGAGACATTCAATGGGAATATAAGGTGAAAAGGATAAAGAAAAATTTTAAAGCTACCAGAGAGGAAATAATCTCCAAAATATTATCAATTAGACTTCTTAACAGAAGCAATAGAAACTCGAAGATAATGAACTAATGTTTTTAAAATGCTGAAAGATAACTTTACCCATCTATACTATCATTCAAGACTGAGGGCAAAATAAAGACATTGTCAAAGACTAAAATAATTTATCTCTGGCATACCTTATTTGTAAGAATTTCTAAAGATCATCCTTTAGCAAGAAGTGAAGGGAACCCAAAGGTAGGCATAGGGTGTACTTTTTAACAAAGTTATAGATAATAAAGATAACTATTTTTACAAAGGTTGTTTTGAATTTCTGGAAAATAATAAAGAATATAGGTAGCTAAAGTATGCTAGGAGTATTTTCTTACTCAAAAAGATGGAGATGCTGATCATTTTAACTAATTTTTTAAAATAAAACCAAGTATATTTTAAATCTATGTATTTATTGAGTACCTACTACATGCTGGCACTGGTCTAGATGGTAGGGATAAAACAGTGGGGAAAGGGCAGCCCGGGTGGCTTAGCAGTTTAGTGCTGCCTTCAGCCCAGGGCCTGATCCTGGAGACCCACGTCAGGCTCCCTGCATGGAGCCTGCTTCTCCCTCTGCCTGTGTCTCTGCCCCTCTGTGTGTGTGTGTGTGTGTGTGTGTGTGTGTGTGTGTGTCTTTCATGAATAAATGAATAAAATCTTTAAAAAAGGGGGGGGAAATCATCTTTTCATGTGGTGTACGGTTTAGTGGGAGTAAACCATATACTACTTAAAAGCAGTATAACCAAAAGAGACAGACTTGAAAGAAATACATTGGCAAATAGGAAAAGATACACCTTGAAAATATGCTGCCATGATGAAGTGAAAAGCTGATTTGGCTTTGGTAATGTCAGATAAAAATACAGTTTAAGGTGAAGAGCATTAATAAGCAAAATGAGCAGCTAGAGCATTATTGAATTTAAACACCTAACATAGGCTTGAAAGTGAAAACTGACAGGATTAGAAGGAAAACTGACAAGTCCCTAGTTATGTGAGAGATTTTGCCATGCCTCTATTAAAACAGATTGGTAGGGGGGTGGGATCCCTGTGGCGCAGCGGTTTGGCGCCTGCCTTTGGCCCAGGGCGCGATCCTGGAGACCCGGGATCGAATCCCACGTCAAGCTCCCGGTGCATGGAGCCTGCTTCTCCCTCTGCCTGTGTCTCTGCCTTGTCTCTGCCTCTCTCTCTCTCTCTGTATGACTATCATAAATAAATAATTAAAAAAATTAAAAAAAAACAGGTTGGTAGGGAAAAAATAATAAAAATAAAATAAAACAGATTGGTAGGGACACTTGGGTGTCTCAGTTGGTTAAGCATCTGCCCAGGGTCCTAGGATCAAGCCCTGCATTAGGCTTCCCTGCTCAATGGGGAGTCTGCTTCTCCCTCTCCCTCTGCAACCCCCTCCCTGCTTGTGCATGCTCTCTCAAATGAATAAGTAAAATCTTTTAAAAAATAAAACAGGTAAAATTAATTGAGAATACAGAAAATTTGAACGACAGAACTAATAAAGTTGATCTAATACATATAGAAAATTTTGTACCCAACAAAGTATGTGCTATTTTTTTTAAAGATTTTATTTATTCATGAGAGACAGAGAGAGAGAGAGAGGCAGGCTCCATGCAGGGAACCCGATGCGGGACTCAATCCCGGGACCCTAGGGTCACGCCCTGGGCCAAAGGCGGGTGCTAAACCACTGAGCCACCCAGGGATCCCCAAGTATATGCTATTTTGTTTTATTTTATATATATATATTTTTTTAGTATATGCTATTTTACAGTTCACAAGAAATACTTACAAAAATTCATAGTGTCTTAAATCAAGTCTTCAAAGTTTAAGGTAACCAGAATGAAATAGACCACATTTTCTGACCACAATAATTAAACTTGAAACCAACAATAAAAAGCAACTTTTAAAAACTCATCTGACTAGAAACTAGAAAATGTACTTATAAATAACTCATAGGTTAAAAAGAAAGCTTGAAAACACCCAGCAGAGTAAAATAAATAGGCGGGAGGAAGGACTATAAAAGATAAGAACAGAAATTAATAAAATGGGAAAAGATTACTACTTTCCTACTCTTACATTGTAATAACCAATGATAGGACTAAGAGAATTAGCCAAGAAGAATATAGGTATTATTTGAGCCTCTATCCCTATTCATGGCTTGTATTCTACATTAATAATCTTTTTCTTTAGAAGATAGCATTGTGGGCAGCCCGGGTGGCTCAGCGGTTTAGCGCCGCCTTCAACCCAGGACGTGATCCTGGAGACCTGGGATCGAGTCTCATGTCGGGCTCCCTGCATGGAGCCTGCTTCTCCCTCTGCCTGTGTCTCTGCCTCTCTCTCTCTGTGTGTGTTTCTCATGAATAAATAAATAAGATCTTAAAAAAAAAAAAGCATTATGAGCTAAGAAGAAAAATATAAGACTCAAAACATAAAATAGAAACTTATGTCAAATTTTCAAAGTGTGTATCTTTTCCATATAATGAGAAAATTAACTCTGGAACTCTATAAGTGAAAATATAAAGTCTGTAGAATTATTATTTTTAAAAAATATTGATAATGGCCTTTGATAGAAAGTTCTTTTTACATATTTAAAATATTTTTCTTTCCCTTCTTGTAGGTTACTCAAATGAGTCGTCCAGACCTGATTCTCTTTCTGATGAAATACCTGATGGCTCTCATAGTTGGTATTCCCTCCATTTTTTGGGTTGGAAGCAAAAAGACATGCTTTGAATGGGCCAGTTTTTTTCACGGTCGTAGGAAAAAAGAGTAAGTTGAAATAATCACAATGTTCACAAGCCTCATATTCACATAAAATGTGTTGCTTATGTGAAAACAATTTGGATTTGGGGGATGTGTTTCAACGTGATTGTAACCTCAGCTGCTACCAGTTATAATCTGATTAGCAGAGTAGCGTGTATTAATGAAAGTTTATCTAAGAAGAGAACCAAGTAGAACCAGGCTTAAGATCTATACCTCACTAATTCAGAATATTTGAGGGAAATCTAGTCTCTTATTTTCAAAAACTTAAATTACAATTTTCTTAAAAACAAATTAATGCTTTTATATATATTATTACTTGATCTTCTCAATATTCCTGGGAGGACTGGTATGTATTATTTCTGTTTTATGGATCAAAAACTAAGACACAGAGGTTAAATGCTTTGACCGAAATCATACAAGTATTAGGTTAGACTTCCTTTCCAATTGCCCATTGTTCTTCCAAGTATACCAGAAATTATATGGATAACATGTTATTCCATTATGATAAAGTATACATTAAAGCCAAAAAAAGCCAAAATAGAAAAATGATATTGAATATATTATAAAATGATAATGAAGTGAATCAAAGAAATTATTATAATTCATCTTTGGCCACACTGTGTATTAGAGTGTCATGGTAAAAATATAAAACTTGCCAAAGCAATCTCTTGAGGACATATTTATGGAATCTTTAGTCATGAAGCAAAAGAAAGCAAGCCCCTGGAATATTCATAAAGGAATAAAAGATTTCAAACTTTTTACTCCGTTTAAATCTTATGTGGATATTATACCTGAATTATCTCAAATTCTAAGTTAATGGAGTCTATATGCTTATGATTTTACTTAAGCTAAGTCCGTGGAAAATAGGTTTGAGAGATAGTCTATAAAACTCTTCAGGTTGTATTTTAAATTGTGCCTTATATGGGTTAATGTACTTTTCCCATACAACTTAAAATGCCTCATTAACAAAATCTGTATTTTCTAAAGTACCAGTAATTATCCGTTTCTGTTACACAGATTAGACTGAGACAAAATAATCCCAATTTTTAAATATACATTTCTTTTTTTTTATGATGTCATTTTTTAAATTTTTTTAATTTATTTATGATAATCACACACACACAGAGAGAGAGAGAGAGAGAGAGAGAGAGAGAGAGAGAGGCAGAGACACAGGCAGAGGGAGAAGCAGGCTCCATGCACCGGGAGCCCGACATGGGATTCGATCCCGGGTCTCCAGGATCGTGCCCTGGGCCAAAGGCAGGGGCCAAACCGCTGCGCCACCCAGGGATCCCCTAAATATACATTTTTTACTACTGTATCTGAGGCTGCTACTAGGGGTACCAGATAATGCATTTCTCCTTTAAGTAACAGTTTCATTGAGCACAGAAGGAAAGAAGGGAATAAGAGTTATTTAACAACAACAAAATGTGTTTCCTGGGCATTCATTTTTTAAGAATGTCTTGATAGATTGCTTACTATGTACCACGAACTATGTTGTGATACCAGGGATGCCAAGTCCCTGCCTTCATGGAAAAATCCTTGTGGGATTTACTGTGACTTATCTGTGTATTCTTTGAAATATTTACATTTTAATCACACTAAAAGATAATATTGAGGAAAATGGCTTGTATTAAACATTCCTGGTCATCTCTGGACCATACACAAACAATTCTTTAATAGCATTATATTGGAAATTCTAGATAGAACTAATCCCACTCTTATGGGGCTACTCCTAGTTATTTGCTGGGTGCTGGTTGGGCCAGAATCCTTTTGAAACTGGTTAGAATTCCCAAGACCCTTCTATTTGGTTTTCTGTGACCATGGATCCCCACCTAACAAAGTCATTGTGGTCCTACAAGCCAGGACTATGCCTTAGACTAGAGTGGCAGTTCTTTATCCTGGAGCTCGAGTGTGAGCATCCAATAGCTATCTCTAGCATTTGTCTGCTTTAGCCTTTGAGAAATAGCTATAAGGTAATTGTGATAATGGTTACCAATTAATTGAGCACATTAAATTCTCCAAGTACTGTTCTAAGCATTTTATATATTATTAAACCATTTAATCCTTCAAACAGCCTTGTAAGAGAGATCATCATTTTATAGAGAAGGAAACTGAGGCATGGAATCAGGGTTTCATAGTGAATGCTGAATTGAGATTCAGACCCAAGTAGTCTGACTCTAGACTCTCGTCTTTGCTCTTATCCCTTTTGTTATGTACTATGCTATAAAGAGATTAGTTTCTAAAATTGTGCTAATTGAATTAGTGTTTTCCCCCTAAGTGAAGCCACATTTAAGATTGTGTTTAGTAATTCTGACACTGAAATATTTTTAGAAATCTTATTTTGGAATTATCTAGATCGTATCATTTAATTTCTCTATTTTCTTATCTATGAAATGAGGGGAAAAAACTTTACCATTTGAAGATGGAGTAAATTTTTGGCATGACCAGATGTCAGTCTGAATTAAATTAAAAAAAATAAGTTTAGAAAATAACGTTAGCAACCAAGACTGACTTGGGATGTATGATTATATGATTAGGGCCATTGATGACCAGAGAAACATATACTTGTTTGGTTGCTTTTTTTTAAACTGTCTTTGACTTGTTCTTTCTTCTATCTAGTTTTTGAAACTTTGATTTGAGATATGTGTGTATATATATGTGTGTATGTGTGTGTGTGTTATATATATGTTATGTGTCATATATAGATATGTTATATAAAATATTTTATCATTATAAATATATTTTATCATTACCTTACATTTAGCTTTTAAGTTATTTAGAGTGCAAGAGTGTGAGGGAGGGGCAAAGGGAGAGGAAGAGAGAGAATCTCAAGCAGGCTGAAGCCAGTGTGAAGGGCTTGATCTCACAACTCTGAGATTATTTTCAGAGCTGAAATCAAGAGTCAGACACTTGGGATCCCTGGGTGGCGCAGCGGTTTGGCGCCTGCCTTTGGCCCAGGGCGCGATCCTGGAGACCCGGGATCGAGTCCCACGTCGGGCTCCGGTGCATGGAGCCTGCTTCTCCCTCTGCCTGTGTCTCTGCCTCTCTCTCTTTCTCTCTCTGTGACTATCATAAATAAATAAAAATAAAAATAAAAAAAAAAGAGACACTTAACCAACTGAGCCACCTAAGCATTGCTTCTTGGCCTTTTGGCTAAGATCAAGAGTGAGACACCCAAGCACCACCAAGCTATTTAAACTTAAGTTTGACTGTTGATTTTGTTGTGTGACTTTGGAAAGTTCTTTCATCCTTTAGGACCTCAGTTTTTTCATCTATGACATGGAGATCACAGTATTTATACTTAATAGAGATCTATTCACAATAGATCTATAATATCCTCTTAGAGATACCCTCTTAGAACATTGATCTCTATAATAAAAACATTAAGAAGGATCAAAGGAGACTTTATGTAAAATGCCTGGCACAATGTGGGTACCCAACAAGTATCAACCATTCTTTAGCCCTTCTACCTCACCACTAAAAACAATAATAGTAACAACAATCCTTTTGTAATCTGAAAATTTAGAATATATGCACTTTCTCAACGTATGATCAAATCCTTATATGTCAGAGCTTTATTTTTTCATTTAATTGTTTTTCTGATTCTAACTTTAATCCCTGATTCTCAGTCGTTTATTTACATAAACTGAGTCTCTGATCTTTGTGACTATTTAACTGACTCTTTTATCAGTTTAATTGCTGCATTGTTCATTATCATAAACATTTATCTGCTTTTAACCTTTTCATAGCAGTTAAAAGCTTTTGTTCTTGACAATAATTCATCTCCTTAAATTATACACACACACACACACACACACACACACTACAGTGAGGCCTCTAATACATCCATAAACTTCAAGAAAATGTTACTCTACTTTATTGTAGTATCTTTATAATATTTCATTGTACTTGAAGGGCAGTGGGGTGGCCCAGTGGGTTAAATGTCTGCCTTTGGCTCAGGTCCTGATCTTGGGGTCCTGGGATCAAGCCCCAGCGGGGCTCCATGCTCAGTGAAGAATCTGTTTCCCCCTCTCCCTCTGCTTCTCCCCCTACTTGTGCTTGCTCTCTCTCTCTCTCTCTCTCTCTCAAATAAATAAAATCTTTAAAAAATTTTTCAAAGTCCTTGAGAATCATAAATTTCTTTAATTGAAAGTGACTTTTTAGAAATGATGAAATTGTAGAGCTTCATCTTATAGATGAGGAAAATGAAGGAAAGGGGATAATGACCTGCATGAGATCATGTATTTAATGAACTAAAATCCAGACTTTCTTACTCTAATACAGGCATCTTTCCATCATGCCACTTTAGAATACAGATTCTTTCCTCTGTCAACAATATTATATCTCTCCTAAAGACATTTGAAAAGCAATTAATTTCAAGAATAATGTCACTGTGTCACATTTATTGGTCTACAGGGATGTTATTCTGTACCTTTAACTTAGTATTTTGTTTTCTAGGATAGTAAATGAAAGCCGACAGGTACTACAGGAACCTGATTTTGCTCAGTCTCTTCTGAGGGATCCAAATACTCCTATTATAAGAAAATCAAGAGGAACTTCCACTCAAGGAACGTCCACACATGCTTCTTCAACTCAGCTTGCTATGGTGGATGATCAGAGAAGCAAAGCAGGGAGTGTCCACAGCAAAGTAAGCAGCTACCACGGCAGTCTCCACAGGTCCCGTGATGGCAGGTGAGTTTCATTGGTAGCTTACTTTATTTTATATATTGAATTAGAGTCACACAGCTTAAGAAGGAAGAGTAGCCAATTCTGAAAAAGCTGAACATTATTTGTATTTAAAAATGTTTTTTAATTGAAGTATAATTAACATAGTATTATTACTTTCAGGTATACAATATGATTCAACAATTCTATGTATTATGACTCAGTGCTCATCATAAAAAATGTACTTTTAATGTCCTTTATCTGTTTTAGCCATGCCCCCTACCTACTTCCCCTCTGGCAACCACCCATTTGTTCTCTGTATTTAGGAGTCTTTGTTTGTTTGTGGCTCTTTTTTCTTTTATTCATTTATTTTGCTTCTTAAATTCCACATGTGAATGAAATCATATGGTATTTATCTTTTTCCATCTGACTTATTTCACTTAGTGTTTTACCCTCTAAGTTTATCCATGTTGTCACCAGTGGCAAGATCTCATTCTTTTTATGGCTAAGTAATAGTCCATTGTTTTTTTTTTTTTTAATTTTTTATTTATTTATGATAGTCACACACAGAGAGAGAGAGAGAGAGGCAGAGACACAGGCAGAAGGAGAAGCAGGCTCCATGCACCGGGAGCCCGACGTGGGATTCGATCCCGGGTCTCCAGGATCGTGCCCTGGGCCAAAGGCAGGCGCCAAACCACTGCGCCACCCAGAGATCCCGATAGTCCATTGTTTATGTATACCCCATCTTCTTTATTCATAATGCCGCAGTAAACATAGGGGTGCATATATCTTTTCAAACTAGTATCTTTGTGTTCTTTGGGTAAATGCCCTAGAGTGGAATTACTGGATCATATGGTAATTCTATTTTTAATTTTTTGAGGAACCTCCATACTGTTTTCCACAAAGGCTCCACCAGTTTGCATTCCTACTAATAATGCACTAGGATTCCTTTTTCTCCACATCCTCATCAACATTTGTTATTTTTTGTCTATTTCATTTTAGCCATTCTGACAGGTATGCAGTAATATCTCATTGTGGTTTTGATTTGTACTTCCTAATAATTAGTGATGTTGAGCATCTTTTCATGTGTCTGTTGGCCATCTGTATATCTTGTTTGGAAAAATGTTGAGCCAGGTCCTCTGCTCATCTTTTAATTGGATTCTTTGTTTTCCTAGTGTTGAGTTGTATATAAGTATTTATATATTTTGGATATTAACCTCTTATTGAATATATCATTTGCAAATATCTTCTCCCATTCTGTGGGTTGCCTTGTTTGTTGACAGTTTACTTCACTGTGCAAAAGTCTTTTATTTTGGTGTAGTCCTAATAGTTTAATTTTGCTTTTGTTTCTTTTGCCTGAGGAGACATATCTAGAAAAATGTTTCTATGACTGATGTCAGAGAGATTACTGCCTATGCTCAAAGGCATCCAAATTGGTACTAAAGAGGTAAAACCTTCACTATTTGCAGATGACATGATACCATATATAGAAAACCCTAAAGACTCCACCAGAAAATTGTTAGAACTGATAAATTAATTCAGTAAAGTCATAAGATACAAAATTAATATACAGAAATCTGTTGCATTTCTTTACACTCATAATAAAATAGCAGAAAAAGAATTTCAGGAAACAATCTCATTTACAACTGCACCAAAAATAATAAAATACCAAAGAATAAACTTAACCAAAGAGGCAAAAGACCTATACTCTGAAAACTATAAAACATTGATGAAATAAATTGAAAATGACACAACAAATGGAAAGATAGTCCATGCTTAAGAATTGAAAAAAATCAATATTGTTAAAATGTCCGTATTACCCAAAACAATCTACAGATTTAATTCAATCTCTGTCAAAATACCAATAGCAGTTTCCACAGAACTAGAACAAGTAATCCTGAAATTTGTATGAAACTACAAAGGCCCCAAATAGCAAAGCTACCTTGAGAAAGAACAAAGTTGGAGGCATCATAATCTCAGATTTCAAGATACACTACAAAGCTGTAGTAATCAAAACAAGATGGTGCTAGCACAGAAATAGACACATGAATCAATGGAACAGAACAGAGAGTCCAAAAATAACCCCCTACACTTAGGCTCAATTAATCTATGACAAGGGAGACAAGAATATACAATGGATAAAAAACCATCTTTTCAATGAGCGGCATTGGGAAAACTGGACAGTAACATGCAAGAGAATGAAACTGGGCCACTTCCTTGCACCATATACAAAAATTAATTCAAAATGGGTTAAAGACCTAAATGTAAGACCCAAAACCATAAAACTCCTAGAAGTTGGACATTTTTAAGTTTTTTGAACTTTGCTAAGTATAGTTGCCTTGGATTATGGTCAGACCTGATGCAGTAAGCAAACACGGAGGCATTGAAGCGTACTGAGCAGGAAGAAGGCCAGGGTTAAAATGGATGTTAGTAAGATTAATTTAGTAAACAATTATGGAATATATACTATATCAAGCACTATGCTAGGCTCTGGGAATAAGATGATTTAGGCATGATCTTTGTTCTTAACAAATTCAAGAAAGATAATATAGACAGTATTACTGTTGTTAAAAACATAGAGTCTAGAATGAAGATCCTCAGTCTCCTCATCTGTACAGTGGAAATAGTAGGGAAGCCTGGGTGGGTCAGTGGTTGAGTGTCTACCTCTGGCTCAGGGACTGGTTCCAGAGTCCTAGGTTCAAGTCCCATATCGGGCTCCTTGCATGGAGCTTGCTTCTCCTCCCTCTGCCTCTCTCTGTGTCTCTCATGAATAAATAAAGAAAATCTTTTTTAAAAAATGGAAATAGGAATATCTGCCCCTTTAGGAGTGTTGTGAAGAGTAAATGAGATAATATGTGTAATTGCTGGGAGTGGTGCTTATCTCAGTAAGTACCTGATAGCAACTTCTATTATTATTTTAAGTGAACAAGTAAAGTAAAATATAAGTATGGTTATAGAGTCTAGAAGTTGGCAAACTTTTTCTATGAAAAGCCACATAGTAAATATTTTAGACATATGGTCTCTGTTGTACCTATTCATTTCTGCTGTTGTAGCATGAAAGCAGCCATAAATATATACGGTTAGAATGGGAGTGGCTTTTCCAATTAAACTTTATTTATTTATCAAATAAACTTTATTTATAAAAATAGGAAGGGGCCAGAGTTGACTGTGAGCCAGAGTTTGCCAACCCCTGTTGTATAGGAGCAATAGTAGCATGGAAGGGTGAGTAAATCTGGTCAGGGACAGGGTCAGAGAAAGCTTCACAGAGAATGTTTGAGAGAAGTCTGGATATGTATTCTTGTTAAATTTGATGATAGAGACACTAGAATTAGAAACTTGTTAGGAGCTTCGTAGTAATTCAGTTGAGAGTTGATGAGGGCTTATTAGGTAGTAGAGTAGTGGCAGGGGTAAGAGAAAGGTGATTTGAAAGATGTGTAGAAAGAAGAAATGAAAGTAGTTGGTTATAGATTAATAACAGCTGGATAGAAGGAATGTGGCAAAAGTTTTTTTGTTTGGTTTTGAGGTTTTTTGTTTTTAAGATTTCTAGTTTGGGAAACTAAAGGAATGAAATGCCTTTGAAACTAAAGGAATCCTAATGCCTGAAATGGAAAGTATTCTATGCTCACTTTAAAACATCGTTGTCCACAACTGTCTTACATTCACCTTTTACTCTCTCTTCTCTGTCCTCTGAGTGTAGGATATGATTTCTATACTTACTCTTTTAAACCTGCTGGTTTTTTCTCTCAAATTGCTTTCTTTTGCCTTAGAACTTGGTCAGCTTTCTGTTTTTTTTTTTTAAATAGTGATATTTTTTATTTTATCCATTTCTTTTTTCTTTTTTTTTTTTGCCAGATTTTTAAAATGAATATTTTTAATATTTTCTTTCTACCTATTCCATCCTTCATTTCACATATACCTGGTCTTTTTTTTTTTTTTTTTTGCCTTCTTACCCACCTAAACTGTACTTTCTACAATCACCAGTGACCTGTTTTTAACCTCATTCAAAGATCCTTTCATTTTTTTTTGCCTTTTCCCTTCCATTCGACACTCTTATATGAGAAACCCTCTTCTGAGTGTTAGGGACACAGAGATGGAAGACAGAAGAGTAAACAATTGTAATATACTTTAACGGATATAATAAAACCATATACAAAATACTTTGAGATCCCAGAGAATACCATTTAATTTATTACTGAAAGTCAAAGAAAACTCCACAAGCAGGATTTCTACTTTGAATAGGAACAGAGGAGGCAGTTGAAATTAAAGACAAGGAAACCACATGAATGGAGGCAAGGAGGACAAACAGGCAGTTAGATACCAGAGTATATAGCTAGAGCACAGTATATATGTTTGGACAGATGAAACATGATGAAGAGTTTAGATTTTTTTCCAGACAGTAGTAAGAACCTATTAAAGGACTTGGAGCCTTGAGGTAATAAAATCAGATTTGTGTTTTAGAAAGATCACTTTGGCAACAACATAGGAGAAAAGACTATAAGTAAACCCAGTTAGGAAGTTTCTGCAGTAATTTATGGGTCCTATCTTAAGATACTCAAGGAGAGGGGATCCCTGGGTGGTGCAGCGGTTTGGCGCCTGCCTTTGGCCCAGGGCACGATCCTGGAGACCCGGGATCGAATCCCACATCGGGCTCCCGGTGCATGGAGCCTGCTTCTCCCTCTGCCTATGTCTCTGCCTCTCTCTCTCTCTCTCTCTCTCTGACTATCATAAATAAATAAAAATAAAAATAAAAAAAGATACTCAAGGAGAAAGGGGATTTGAGAGTCTTTAAGAATATGTTTTGTCAACACCAGCCTCTGTGAACTAATTCTCAGCATTATTTTACATTTGACATTTTTAACCTCATACTTTTCAATAAGGAATGAACAATTATTTATAGTATACCTCCTGTGCATATGGCATTCTGTGTATAAAGAGATATATAGGAGAAAGGTAAGGTATAATTTCTGCATTTCTGGAGCATAATCTTATAGGAAAGGTAAGACATTTACCTAAGAGCCAATTATATA